CTATGCCTTCTTATACCGTTCTCATTTCTCAATGTATGGTCAGTAGGTGGTCCAGAATAATAATAATAATCTGATTGGGGTCCTCTATAGAATGACCAATCAAACTCATCCCCATCTTCTTGTCTCCAACCACAGAAATCTGTCTCAAAATCACATCGACCAACCAAATTGGCTACAAATAAACAAACATTTGTTTTCAGCCAAGCAATCATAAAGATGTATGTCTATGTGGTATTTGATTTTGTTCTGTTCACTATTATTTTATTTGATATATTATTGCATCCATGTACTTCAAACACGCATGTGCAAATTAATAAATCAATCAATAAATAAATGAAATTTGCAAAAATAGAGAAATTTATAAGGGTGTTTGTTAGCACACCAGTGGTAAAATTGTTGGCAATGAAACTTTGTATCCAATCATTTTATAAACCATCTAAATGTATTGTACAGAACTGACTGGTTTGGAAAACGAGTTGAAATGTGAACAACGTTTTTTTTTATTCCAGAAACTGATTTTATCATTAGTTTACTCAACCTAAACCATTAATAGGACTAAGATATTCGCCATGACAACCCAATTTATTGTCATTTTCAATACATCTGTATTGTTTAGTGTAATGTATACTGTTACTAGTATATTGAAAACTGAATATGATCAAACTGAACTTATACACAAGAATACAAAAGGCCAGTTACCACAGTGTTCTTCGTCAGAGTTATCCATGCAATCATCAACAAAATTGCAGGTTTTTTTCTTGTCAATACAGAAACCATTTGTACAACGGTATTCGTCATCACTACATGGTTCACCAGTTAAAACTGAAAGGTTAATAAAAAGAAGTGAAAATAACATATCAAACCATATCAACAGTCGTATAGGGAAATTTACAAAAAGGACAAAACAATTGAAAAGTACACTATACTACGTAAACAAATCAGTAAGGAAAAAATATATAGACCCCATGGTGTACACATATAACATCCTGACTCATTATCAAATAAAACCTGATGTCTCGACCTGACAAATCAAGAGGGCACTACAGTATTTAACCACAAGCTCATTATATATCTGCCAAAAAAAAAGCTTTAAAATAAGGCCAGTCGGTCTCTACAAAATCATTAATAGGTTTGATAAAAATTACAATGTCTTTTTTAAAAGTATATGTATACGTATTACAAGCCCCGGCATGGCGAATATGCTGGGCATGTATACCCATAGGGCAAGACTAAGGGTGGGATGTTGCAAAAATGTGAACAATTGATAATATCATCTCTCTTGTCATATAGTCTTAGAGTTAAATTCAAGGCACAGATATAAAAGTATGTAGCAAAAAAGATTTATTGTTAGCTCCATAATCTCAAGTTCGACTCGTATATCATTAAACTATATTTACTAGATTTAGGATTGTTCATAAAAATCGCAAATATATATGCATAATTTACAGGTTATTAAGTTGTACTTTTCAACATGAGTAAAATTGGTACACTGAAAATACAAATATGAAACGTACACTGTGATTATTGCTGGACGTTGTCACATGTATGATGTGTATACAATACCTTACCTGGAGGTGCACAGTCCAGAAACTTCAGATCGTCAATACAGGTATCACCATAGTAACTAGTACCTCTAGCAGCTTGTATTATCACCTCATAAAACAAACACATTATATACTGCTGTAACAATCACATTAATTAACCGTGCACTATGTGTATTAAGATTGATACTATAAATAATATGAAATATATATAAATATATTTAAAATATCAGAACTATAATAAAACAAATTCATACCTTGAAATTTTGTTCTGTACCAAGATATGCCAGTCCGCGTTTCCATTCAGTCCCAGAAACTCCACTCAAGATATATTTCACATGTGTTTGTGTTTCAAATTGTAACATAACAATTAATGACCCAACATGACGACCTCCCATATGGTACCAAAATTCGAGGTGACAGCTGGGACCAGTTTGCCCAATCAAAGGGCTGGTAATATTAGCAGTATCTAGATTAGTACCAGGGGAGTTATCAGCGAGCAAGTAGAACCCTGTGATGAAAAGTTGTATTACAATAAATTTTAGGTCATAAACTAAATACAATATAATGAGGTATTCAAGACATGCCAGGAAAGAAATGCCAATATTTCACTACTAAAAATGGGATGTTATATAGTCACAATTTACATATATTATATATATATATATATATATATATATATAAATACTTCATATTACAGTATATGATGTCGAATACGACATAATATACTATAATGGTGCTTTGTATTATTTAAGGCATAATTTTATTCCATGCACCTACCATCACCGTTTTTTTTAGTATGATCCTTTGATGGTCTAGTCTCTCCAATTTGTGATGTACTACCTTGCTGTCTGTCCCATACAAATTTGGGTTTTGTGCTGCGTCTTCGTGATTCAACAAACACACCATTCCAGCCACATCCATCAGTTTCGAAATCGCATGATGATTTCACTGAAAACAGAACATCACAACTTTTGTAAAAATTTCGCAGTTACATGCTTATCTACCATAATTGTAAAATACAGTACCATTGGTCAATCAACTAATCATCACATACCCATGCACTATTGTGATGGAAAGACAACAGTTGTCATATGTGATATGAGACCAGATATATTGAGGATAGCGTTGCTGTGCTGACATGAGACCAGGTGTATATTGAGGATAGAGGTGCTATACTGACATGATACCAAGTGTATATTGAGGATAGCGGTGCTGTGCTGACATGAGACCAGGTGTATATTGAGGATAGAGGTGCTATACTGACATGATACCAAGTGTATATTGAGGATAGAGGTGCTATACTGACATGAGACCAGGTGTATATTGAGGATAGAGGTGCTATACTGACATGTGACCAGACGCACATTAAGGATAAATATAGTGTACCTGTATCTTGAGGATAGACACACTGTAATGATATGATACATGATATATTTATGATAGATATACTGTAAGCGTTATGAGATCTGATGTATATATGGTATATTTATCAGTCCAGATGAAGACAGTGTTATAAGCAAAAAGTAGTTCTTCATGATTTGATTGTACATAATTACAATTCCAGGAGCAATATTTATATGTTATACCAATAAATATGAGGCATCATCAATTGTTTACAGGTAATGTTTTTTTTTTGAAGCATACATCCATTAATTGCTGTTTGCAGCTATATTCAAAACATTTGTTATAATCTTACTGCATCGCTTTGTTTCATCTTCTCCATCGGAGCAGTCACTACGGAAGTTACAAACAAATTCTGGTGCAAGACATGAATTATCTGCTGTACAGTAGAATTCTCCGGTTTCACAGGCTGGATGAAGAGTTGTGGATGGTGGGAATGGTGGAGGTGTTGTTGGCGGCGCTGTTGGCAGTCGACCTGAAAGAATAAAACGAATATATGAAACGCAATAAAGCGAGTTGCTAAGCTGCATTGTGTTAATAAATCAAGGACTTATAAAATAGAGGTATTCCTCTCATGTTATAGACCATGATCTTTTAGTCTCTAATCAAACTCATCTGTGCAACAGAGAACGTATAACTTGAATCGCCTCACCACTGGTGCTGAGAGAACATGAACTCAAAAAGGTTATATCATCAAGGGCAATATTGCCATAGTAACTGTCTCCTGAAACTCCCTCCAGTACAATCTACAAAAGAGACAACAATCCGTAGATGGTTCAGCTTTTAAAAGTAGCAAATATATTGTACATTAACATCATTTAAGTATCAATTATATAAAAATTAATTTTTGACAAGAATATTTCGAAAAAAACGTACTAGTCTCCCAGTCAAACCGACACAATTCCCACCATACGATCCCAACTATTTGGATATTTTTATGTACCTGAAAATCAGTATTAATGTTGAAAATAATTTCTGCTCTATCCCATAACGCACCATTCTCACCCTTCTGCTGCCACACACGAGTTTGTCCTTGGTTTGTATTGTCGTATATACGAGTGTAGATATTCAATTTCCCTATATTCATACCGTACATGTGATAAAAGAATCGCATCTGAAATAAATGGGGGAAGAGCTTTTTAATATATGTAGGTGATTTTCTGAGATATCGCGTCTTGCGTGAACGGCGCGGAACGGGCGTTTACCGCACAAATTGTGACAATTTAATTTTGAATTTCTTTTTCATAGCTCTATGTCGAAATGCCGATCTTT